GTGTGTGTGTGTGTGTGTGAAAGAGAGAGTGTTTATGTGTGTGTGTGTGTGTGTCTTTTGGAACATAAAAAAGAGATTATCTCTAGTATATTTTTACATTCGTTAATAGTTTAGTTTTTACATGATCTGTTGCATATATCTTTGTTTCACTAAGAGTTGAGTTTTTGCATGCTAAATTATGCATTTATTCGGGTTCTCTTCTCTCTCTACCACTCAGAAAATATGTGTATGGATTTCTGAAAATGATGTTGTAGTTTTTTTAATTTTTTATTTTTAAAATTAGTGAGATTTATTAAAATAAATATTGTGACACGGATTTGAGAGAAAAAAATGATCCCTCGAAAGTTAAATATGTCCTTTGGTGTCATCCAAAAGACGAAGGTGTTGGTGAATTTAAAAAGCTCTCTTGCTCGCTACATGTCTATAAATACTCACTCATACATAGAATCCCATACCACTCACCAAGTAATTATTAATCCAATTAGCCACCATACACCCACAAGTAGTGATGGCAAGCCCCCCTTCAATTTCAGTCCCTTCTCTCTCCTTGTTGCTTATTATCGTAGTCTGCATTATCCCACAGATGGCCGCTTGGGACCCACTAGAAAACACATTTCACTATGACAATGCATCCCTCGAAAAAGCATCCAAAGACTATGGAAACATAGTTCAACTCAAACCAAATTCCGTATTTGGCCCTAACTATGTGAGTGACATCCAATTTTTCATTAAGCAAAAATATAAGCACTATGACACAGATAAGAACAAGAGCATTGCCATAAGGGCATGTGGCCATTCTACGAGGGGACAGTCCCAAGTCTTGGCCGTCATAGTGGTCAACATGACTGCTATAAAAAATTTCAAAGGGAGTAGGATCAACATTGGTAAGAATCACATGGGTTACTATGCAGATGTCGGGTGCGAGCTGCAGTGGATAGACATTCTCAAGGACACACTTAAGGTTAATCTTACGCCTGTGTCATTTACGGATTATATACACGCCAGCGTGGGCGGAACACTCTCAAACGGGGGTATAAGCGGACAATCGTTTCAGCACGGTCCCCAAATCTCCAATGTTTATTCTCTATATGCAATCACAGGTAATATATAAAAATATATAATTAGTTTTGATATGGGATATTATACCCACAAGGCTGAACCAGTCTGTTAACCGGTCGAGGAGG